CAGTGGCGGCAGCAGCAGTTGCAGCAGCAGCAGTTGCAGCAGCAGCAGCAGCTGCAGTTGCTGCAGTTGCAGCAGCAGCAGTTGCAGCAGCAGCTGCAGTTGCAGCAGCAGCAGTTGCAGCAGTTGCAGCAGCAGCAGCAGCAGTTGCAGTTGCAGCAGCAGTTGCAGCCGCAGTTGCAGCAGCAGTTGCAGCAGCAGGTGCAGCAGCAGCAGCAGTTGCAGCAGCAGGTGCAGCAGCAGCAGCAGTTGCAGCAGCAGCAGTTGCAGCAGTTGCAGCAGCAGTTGCAGCAGCAGTTGCAGCCGCAGTTGCAGCAGCAGTTGCAGCAGCAGTTGCAGCCGCAGTTGCAGCAGCAGTTGCAGCAGCAGTTGCAGCAGCAGCAGCAGTTGCAGCAGCAGCTGCAGCAGCAGCAGCAGCAGTTGCAGCAGCAGGTGCAGCAGCAGCAGCAGTTGCAGCAGCAGGTGCAGCAGCAGCAGCAGTTGCAGCAGCAGGTGCAGCAGCAGCAGCAGTTGCAGCAGCAGCTGCAGTTGCAGCAGCAGCAGTTGCAGCAGTTGCAGCAGCAGTTGCAGCAGCAGTTGCAGTTGCTGCAGTTGCAGCAGCAGCAGTTGCAGCAGTTGCAGCAGCAGTTGCAGCAGCAGCAGCAGTTGCAGTTGCAGGAGCAGTTGCAGCAGCAGTTGCAGCAGCAGGTGCAGCAGCAGCAGCAGTTGCAGCAGCAGGTGCAGCAGCAGCAGCAGTTGCAGCAGCAGCTGCAGTTGCAGCAGCAGCAGTTGCAGCAGCAGTTGCAGTTGCAGCAGCAGTTGCAGCAGCAGCGAGGATGCATGATAACAGTTGTAATATAGAGAGCAAATCTATCTGAAAATCATAGTTGAAAATTTTTGTGAATTTTTCTGGAGCAGTCGTTTGTTTTTTGATTCTTTAACCTGTTCTGGGTCAAACCTGAGGGGGCGCCCTCGTGTCAACAGTCCAGAACTTTCCCAAACTCTTTTGTATGAACCAGCCTGAGAATATAATCTTCTACCTGCGATGCTCAGTACCCTCCCTCCCCCGTGTCCCCCCTCAGATGCCCCCTCTTTCGGTCTGAAGTCCTTTACACTTTTTTTTAGCCCCTAGTCCTGGGGGGGGGGGGGGG